TCTGCTCTACTGTTAAAACCAGTGAGTCAGGACCTTTGCTCCGATCTGTTGGCCAAATAAATGTTTCCTTTGCACCTGAGCCAAGGGAGCTCTGGCTCTTGTACGTATCACTGACTCTGGAAGGGGAGGAGTTGACAATGACGTCCCTAAGAGAAGTCGAGCACGCGGCGATGCTGGAGAGTGCAGGAGGCTTCTTGCGGCCTTGGCGTCTAGAAGGGAAGATCATGGGGATAGAGCTGATCGGTGTCTGTGGAGCACTGTAGAAACCAGGTCTCTCATAAAATGGGGTTGACATGAAGGCGTCAAACTCCCTTAGCTTCCCGTCTTCACTGTCCCACTGCTCCTGTGAGCTGGAGTCTCCCCTTGGCTGATTGATGCTGCAAGGGCTTCCAGACTTGCCCATGTCTTGGTACGTATAATGGGAGAAGGGGGATGTGGGGTCTCCTCGCCTGCGCAGCAGGTTCATCCGGGAAGAGGACCTGGAGAAGCTTGGTGACTGGACACCGAGGAGGCGGCCCAGGTGTCCCAGTAATGGTGTGGAGTGGTTTGCCTCCTCATTCTCTTTAATTTGCTCCAGGGGCTGGAACTCCATCTCTTCTTTCTGCATGCTGGGGAAAGGCAAAACGGGCTGTTACACAGCCCCGGAAGAAGGTGGTTTCTGGTGGAGAGGCTTGGCAGCGCAGGGAATGCTGCTGCCAGTGGCAAGCCTCTCTCTTCCTGTATTAGATTGTGTTAGACCCTCCACAATAGGGATGCTCATAGTAGAGGGGAGGGGGACAGGAGGTTGGAGGCATCCTTTTCCATGGAGGATGTTGGCTATCATCTTTGCCTGAGGCTAAAAGTATCGTAGAGCAAGATTTCACAAATGAAGAGAGATTTTACTGCTCGCTCTTACTCTTCAAGTATAATATCCTCCACGAGACCTGATCCAAGGTGTAACTGTGGCCTGTTCTGACACCCTGTGGCCGCACTCACCTGATGTCAAAAGTTGAGCCAAGGAATGATGGGCGCTTGTACTCGGCAGTGGCTGCGGTGTAGGGTGGCTGGGGATCAGGCTCGTTCCAGTATAGGTCCTTTTCCAGAATGGGTAAATCCTGATGCATCTCGTCCACTGCCATAAGGGAGACCTGTGGGGGACAGCAGAAATGTCATACGGGGTGAGCAGCGTTACGTGTGCCTGCTATCGGTGGACAAAGGAATGCAGGAGGAAGCAATGCAGCACAGAAGCGAGGCAAGTGGCTGGGTTTGCTGTGTGGTTTCCTGTCACTTGGGTTGTTTCTCATATGGAGAGACTTGATTAATTGGAAGGTGAGTGATGCTGAAGGAGACAGGAAAACAATATGCTCACTAGGGGAGAAGGGCTTGGGTTGGGAATGGCTGAAGGTGGAGAGTTACTGCATGGAAGAAAGCAGAGGCGGCGGTTTTAGATAAAGATACAGGGTGGAGAAGCTAGGGAGAGGCAGGAATGATGTGGTATTGAAAGGTAGTGATGGTGTGAAACGGAACAGCCTGGATCCATCGTGTGTGACAGAGCGTGGACTCAGGCTGCAGTCGGTCTCTGTGCACAAAGATAGGCCAAAAGCCCCGTCTTCCCTGGTGTGTGTGTGTGTGGGTCTTCTGGCACAGGTCTTGCCCCACGTTCTTCCTGGAGCCTGGGATGTCTCCCTGGCTGCGGAGAGGGAACGCTGAGCTGACCCCCTTCACCTGTGTATTTGTTGGGAAGCCTTATGTTCTCCTCCTGCTCTCCTAGCCATCTCCCTCTGGACATCCTGGGCCTCTTCTTAACATGCAGCCACCGACACCTCAGGAAAGTGCAAGGGTAACGGGCTGCCTCTCCGCCCTATTGCAGGCGTTGGAGGCGGGCGGCAGAGGTATTGCAGGAGAACTTTGTGACTGCACTGATGGGGCTTGCTAAACCCTCAGGCGCAGTCCTGCCTCAGTGTTCCTCTGCAGGTCAGGCTCATCTGGAGGATCCTGCCCTCACTTTACCTGCAAATTCCTGTCGATGAGCCAGTTGGTTTCAAAGTCATCGTCGTCCTCCCCAAAAGGGTTGATGAGTTGCTCGGCCACCTGCATGTGGAGAGCACATAGCAAAGGTCATCATGGTCATACCCACCCCTTTCCCTGCAGGGAGAAGGCCTGTGGGGCAGAGTCAAGCGTGATGTTCCTTGAATTCAGAGCAATGCTGTTCCTCCCAAAAAGGGGTGCGTTAAAATGGAGGCTTGCCAGTGGCCAGGAGACATTGCTACACACAGATAACTGTCCCTGGCTCACATAGCCTTCCTGCAACTGCAGGCCAGCACTGCAGGTAAAGTGTAGCCTACTGCCTCTCTTTCTCCCCAAACTAGTCAGGACCAAAGCCTAGGAAACACAGAGCTGATCTCCAGGGTGAGACACTCAGAAATGGAGAAAGTCTTGGCAATACCCTCTGCCCCTGCTGGCTTCCCATTTGTCTGCCAGCCCACGGCATTGTTGCCCATGGACCAGAGAACATGGCTGGGTCCCTGGTGGGCACACACTGGGGAAAAAACCCTCGGCTCAGTCCAGCTCCAGACATATTTTCTTGGGCTTACCTTTAACCAGCCAGCATAGAAGAAGAACTGCAAAAATGTAAAGACAGGCACAAAGAGATCTAGTTCATGGCCAGGATATGCTTTTTCTGGATCCAGGAACTGCCGCCCGATCAGACAGGCCAGGAAGAAGCTGTAAACAGCCACGGTCACCACCTAGGAAAGATGACAGGGGACACACCAGAGGAGCTTGAGTTCCCAGCTTGCTTTCCCAGCATTTCTCTTCAGCTCCACCCCACACAACTCCAAAGAGCGGCAAGCTGCTGCAGAGCTGCTGGCTCTGTAGCCTTTTTGCAAGCCTTGGATTCAGTTAGGACAGGTTTGTCCTCTGCTTTTTACAGGAAGATGCATTTCCACTGCAGAAAGCTTTAAATATGCTCTCTGCCCCTTTAGCTGTTGCATACGCTATATTTCATTCCATACTGTCCCTGGAATGACATCTGTGTAGGTGTCGCAGAAAGGCAGGGGTAGAAGAAAGCACGTAACGTCCCGGGTGGGAAGAGCTTAAACAATTGACACGTGGCTGCATGGTTGTTCTGCTGCTGAGTGAGGGGTGCTGTGAGCTCTTTCGATTCTTGCCCTTGCCTCCCCTGAAAGCTGTCTCGAGTCCCTCGTGGCTCAGTCCAGGCTGGCAGGCAGCTTCCAGGTCAGGGAGGGGGAACCCTGGCAGTGCTGTCAGCTCTGAACTAGCTCCTTCCATCCTGGTCCTCATGTTGGGCCTTTTCTATATTTGCCTGCTTGCTTGCCCAGATTTCAGGCTACAGTGAGCTTTGTGCTTTTCTCCGTAATCACGGGACTGGAAACTTCCCCTTTTCAAATTAAAAGCAGCCGAGTGAGACTCTTGCGTGGTCTTTTGACGCAACAAGCAAGGGGGTTCGAAACAACCCAGCATCACAAGACCCTTGAGCCAGCCACGCAGTTCCTCGCAGCGAACAGCGCAGGGCTGTTCCATGATGAGCAGGATAGAGAGCGCCTGAGATGCCAGACTTTGTATTGTGGGTGGGCACCTATAGAAAAACGGGTCGTGTACTGCGGAGTGGGCAAAGACATGCTATGGTATTGCTTTTGCTCCTAGGGTGCAGGCCACCGGTCTGTGCAGGAATAGTTTCCTGCCGTGCTCCCCATTAACCTTCAGCGCTGCAGTTCCCGTTTCGCGGCAAGAGTGCGTTGGTGTTATCTGAGCAGCTGGATCGTATGAGGCACGGGAGCAGGTCGGTGCCGAAGCATCTGTCCGGGTTTGCATCGGGAGAGCTATTAACCAGCTGAGTACACGCACGCAGCTCGCTCTCCCGCGCGCGGCACACCTCCCGCGGAGCTGCCCTGCCTGCTGGAGCGGCTTGGCGGGCAGGCAGATCTCAGCTCTGCTGAGTAGGAAAAAACCGTTCCAGGGACGTGCTCCCTGCAGGGAGTGGATCCACGTGTTGTCTGTGTACCCGCGTGGCACGCGTCGTGGTTAGTTCTCCCCGGCCGGTGCGTGTTTCTGTAGAGGTGGCTGTGTCTGAGCTACAGAATTAAGGCTGGGCTGGGTGTGTGCTGCTGGGCTACGTCCACGGGAGCGCTGACGTGTGTAGGTGGGGACGAGGGGCCCAAGCGTATCTCGCGTCAGCACGGTCTGTGTGTGTGTCAGGTAAATGGGGGTGCCCCTTGGAGCATGGGGTAGCGTACACAGGCAGGCTGGAGCAATAGACGTGGGGGATCCCTTCTCACCTGAGTGTAGACCAGGGGGATGCTGATCCAGTCGTACCCATAGAGTCGCCCGCACTGGCTGCGCAAGGTGTTGAGCTCCTGCAGTGGGGAAAAGGAACGGCCCGTCAGCATAACATTGCATTTCCTTGCTGGGGACGCTGAGCTTCGCTGGCCCCATTGCTCTTTGTTGCTCCAGCCCATTCCCTCCCGCTCATGCCTCCTCTGCAAGGGGGGGGCTCAGCCAGGACTCCTGCTCCCTTGGTGCCCAGCCTCACCCCAGCAGACCACCAGCAGGGTCTCATGCTTGCCCTGGAGGAATTCCTTGCTGCCTGGGTGTCTCCATCTGAGCCCAAGATCCCTTCCTAGCTCATTTCATAGCAGTTTATCTCCTCGCAAAATGAGCAGCTAACAGGTTAGGCAAAGAATGTCTCAGGAGCATCCATCTCTTTTTCCTGACTACATAGTGAGTCTAGATAAATACCCCAGAGGGACATCTCTCTCTGGGCAGATGAATCTCACTCCAGGCAACAGAAATAATAATGATTTTCTCTGCACATGAATACCAGGAAGGATGAGCTGCTCTGGATGTTTTTTCTCTGCAGCTGGGCAGGGATCATTGCCAGGTCTTGCCTGTGGAGCATGGTCTGCTTCCCAGGACTCTCTAAGAGTTTTCAATAGTGAAGTTTTCTACAGACACCTTGGTTGTTGGGGATGCTTTTGACCTCTCCTGGTCTCTTCCAGGTACATGTTTCCTTGTGGCTTTCCATCTGTATCCTAGAGACCTCCACTGGCCACTGTGGTTGGCTGCTTGGGAGTGTGTGAAGGCTGGAGGAAGGCTGATCAAGGACCTGCTGCATGGGTGTCTCCTGTTACTATGTGCAGGTGTGAGTCCCGTGGTTCCTCCCGGTCCCACATTTGAGAAAGATGTCACTCTCCCCTTGCCTCTACTGTACGTGGCATTGCTACCATGTCAGCAGGCCATGAAGAGCTCTGCTCTGTCACAAGCCAGAGAGTGGCGGTGGAGGCGTTCCCCATCAAAGCGAATGTCATATCCTATACCCAGGGACAGGCTTGGCTCACTGTCCAGCCTCACCTTTCCTATTCCTGCCTGACCTCTGGAAATCCCTGTAGTTCCCGCAGAGGAAATCCCTGTAGTTCCCCCCAGAGGGGATCTCAAACAGTTGCCTATTGCCTCTGACACTCACATTCAGGATGCCTTGGAGCAGCACACTGTCCCGGATCCTCCCCTCATTCCTTGCCTTCACAGCCAGATTGGAGAACCACACACAGGGGATCCAAAACTTGTTGTGGGGGGAACTCAAGCTCTCAAACTTCTTGTGCTCTTCTGGTGTCATGAGGCCTAGGTGGAAAAGAGTAGGTGGGAGAGGGATGGCCATAGAGGGCAGAAAGACATTGATCTGGTCTAAAATGAAAATATCTAAACCTCAGGTGGTTACCTTAGCTCTCCTTAAAAAAATCACAGGAAAGACTCAGGCACTCAGCCTTAAGAAGACACCCAGGAGGGCAAGCCTTCATGTTAAAACATTGAGTTACACAAGTGTGAGAGGCAGGCTTTAACTCATTTCCCTTGAGATGTTTGCAGCATATCTGATCAGATCACAGCCAGCAGCGAGATAAAGTACTGCTGAGGGTGCCAGTTGCCTGGTGCACTTAGACATCTGTTGAGAATGGGATAACTTGTGTTCTAGGAGTGCCTGCTTCTGGGTTGCAAAGGGAACCCAGTTGACTTGGGCAGGTGCAGACGTTTCCCTTTGGGCAGAGTGGGAAATGTTGTACCTTGAGGAGCATCTTCAGAGAGGTTTCGGGGAGCCTAGCGGTTAAGGTCGGAGGCCTGAGGCTCCAATTCCTACCTGCCTGGTGGAAAACTGTTGCCCTGAGGAAGGGCAAACGTACCACTTGGCAGGGGTCTGCTCGTGCTCTGTGCCCAGGGTCATTCACTACAGAGCGCTCTGCTCTTCCCACGCAGGCTTTCAGTGCAGGGCAGTGCACTTTCAGTGCAGGTAACACCACAGTTACCCTAATCTGATCAGCCAGGGCTGCGCTGTGACCTGCAGCTTATCTGAATTCACAAACCTGATCTCGACATTCTCCTTAACGTAAAAAAATTGGGCAGAGACCCTTCATCTTTCAAACAAGCCCTCCAGCCACTAGCAGGAACAAGCATGCTGTGCAATATGAGAATATAAACAGTTGATTACTTCAGAAGAGCAGAGCTAGGGCATGAGCAGATGCTCAGCACCCGCTGCAGACATCAGCTGAGCACGCTGCAGCACTGTCCCGTCTCCAGCCTGGAGGTCGTGTGGCCCTTTCCAAAGCTCTTTGCCCCAAGCACAGCAGCAAGCTGTGCAGAAGGCAGTACCAGTACTGACCTGCCCTCACGACATGCTCCATGCTGGGGAAGCGCTTGTAGACAGCAGTGCTGACCGAGCGCAAGATCAGCACGCTGCACAGGTTGCTGTAGCGCATGAGGGTGCGACGCAGGAGCCGCCCGTACTCATCCTCCCCATCCACGTTGCAGGAGACCAAGTTCATGATGCGGTCAGGCCACGGGATGCTCTCGTACTGAGCCCACCAGCGGGACACCACCAGAGCCACGTAGAAACCTAGAGGTGAGCTGAGCAAATTAGCCATCCTAAAGGAGCAGGAGATGTAAATGCCCGTGTGTAGGAAGGCTGCTACTGCTCATACAAGGATGGGTGCAGGCGTGCCTGGAGGGCAAGTCAGATCTCCATGCTAAAGTTAGAGTCTGGGTTTCACGGTTTATTTGGTGCCTGCTCTCCTGGCAGAACCCCGAAGGTGCTAGTACATCTGGCCAGTGCAAGCTGCATGCTGGGGGCATACCTCACAGCTGCAACACGGAACGATGTATTCTGCTTGAGGAGTTAAGGCAAAGATAGAGGGAGGGGTCTGCTCAGCGAATCTTGCCTGCCTGCAGAGCTATATCAAACCAGGGAGAAGAAATGCTGTCCCTTTTTCCCTCCCTGTGTGTTCCCAGACAGAGCTCCTTACCCAGCACAAAGGACACGGGGATTAGCTCAGCGTAGCTGTTGCAGTAGAGTGCCAGCTTCTCAAACATCAGCCTTTGGCTCTCACTCAGGATCAGCCTAAAAGGGAGAAACAGAGGCATCAGTCTCAAAGAAGAGTCTGTGCCTTGTTGGGCCTGCTGGGATAGGGGTCCAGCAAGGGAAATCAAGGATGGGTAGTCACGACACGGCCATATCGTGAGGCTGGGGATGATGTGAGTGAACAGGCCTCGCAAACCTGGGACGTCAGCCCACGTCCCCAAAATACCCTGCTGAGCAGTCCAAAGGAGCCAGAAGCAGTCACTGGCAGTGCGTGGAAGATGACGCAGTCTGATGTCAGGGACCACCCCTATTTTTCTCGCTCAGGAGAGCGCTGTGTGGTATCAAGGGTTTGCCACAGAGCTTGGATGTGCACCACTTAATATCCTGCAAGATGTCAGTCCGAGCTCTGCTCTTACGTGAGTTCCTGCCTCTTTTTTAGAGCTGCTTTACTGCCTCCATGCTGCATTTGTGATTGAACCAGCTAGGGGAACTCCCTGTCTTTCCTCACCAAAACCAGACCAGCCACAGAGTACAGTTCCCTTATCAAAGATCTGTGGTCCCAGAGCTGATGTCTGCTCTCAAAAATGTACCCAAGGTATCCGCCTGTTGTGTAACAGGGGAAACTCTCTCCCAAAGCTCCCCACTGTGGGACATCTCCAGTTCAGCCTTGGTCTCCACCGGTCTACGCATTATTCTTCTGTAGGTAATCATCAAAATGCAACTCTTCATGCCAGGGGAGAGAAACGGTATTACTTCCCAGGACAGAAATAGCAGATTTGTCAGCTCTAAGCCATATTGGAGCAGTGAGGAAGGATCTTTCCTTTCCTCCTGTGAACAGAGGCTGGGCTAGCCAGCTCTTCTTTACCAGGATCACTGTCCCAATCCTGTGTTGCTCAGCTGTGCTGCTCCAGGACAGGCTGGGAGTGAGGGGCTGTGTTAGCGTCAGGTTGTAAGGATGTTTACCTGTAGACAAGACTGATGGTGAAGTAGAGAGAGATGAAAATAAGGAACTCGGAGTAGAGAAGTTTGTAGATACTTCCTTTCCATTGGAGCAGGAGCTGGGAGAAGGTGCCTAGGCGGGCGTCAGCCACACGGTTGGTGTATGTCACTGTCATCACAGATCCTAGTGGAGACACAAAATGAGACACAAAACGATGTTGAAGCTGCCAGCAAGCTTGTACCGAGGGAGGAGACAGGGACACCACAAGTGTCCCAGCAAGTAAGCGAGATGGAAGGAAGGAAGACAGAAAGAGAGAGAAAGAATGAGTTGAGATTGAAAGACAGGTAAGGTGAAGTTATCGACAAAGAACCAGGAGGAAATTTATGGTAGGCAATTAACTTGATGAGCTTGCCATCTTTTTCCTGTCTTGGAGCTGCATGTGAGCTAGATACAACGATAGAGAATATACTTTCTGGTGGAGCCCTTGGTTTCTAGTGTTTGATTGTCAGTATTCAAGTGGGGCTTGTTGGCTGGAGTGGACAGACCACATGTGCCAGCCCCTCCCGCAGAACAGTTGTTTAATTCTCAGGGTCACAAACTCCAAAGTTGCTTACGCTCTGCCCTCCCCCCCCCCCCCC